AATATATACAAATTTGAAAACAATGCTCATCGGTTGTGTCACCTTTATTTTCACGATTATCAATAACTTCTGGCTTGTGTGCGCGTGTACATATACATTTCTTTCGGATTAAACATTTCATCCACACAGCCACTACTACAAGCATTTTATTTCCAGGTTTCAATGAAGTAAATAAATCCAGTTTGCATTTAAACTGCTCATATACTATGTTCTCTGCTTTTCAGTTTCCATGTTAGCATAGATTTCGTATTTGACTTAGTGTAGTCACGATCCTAAATTATATAATTTTAACTGAATATAATAATTCCCATTCAGTAAATCCTACCTAGATTGTAGCAGATTTATGGAAGTAAACTGTCCGCACAGTTGTCTTATTTTTCATACGTCCTTCATAATATTGTGCTATTTGCATACACCAAGAGGATTTTGAAAAGAATTAGGCTACTCTGTTACTCCATTAACAGACGCTCCTCCAGCATCTCTTAGTTTGCGTACTTGGCTTTCAATCATTTGGAAATTTGTTGTAAAGAGACTATTACTTCTTTGTGATGGATTCTGGAAATGCTTTGACTATAGTGAAAAATAAATATAGTTAAATATCCAGTATATGAGGAAGTATGTAGCAATTTCTTTATTCTCCAACCACAACATATATACTCGTCCTGAAGTTTCTATGGTTGGAATTCAATGCGTAACTTCAGTCGCACTTGCCATCTTCAGGGTCAATGTGCAGAGGTTCGTGGGAGTTTTTGGAAAATGTCCCTCTACACCCGGAAGATGACAACTGCAATGTCTGCCACAACGTTGCATAACTATCAACATCTGACACGGCCTACCCCCCCAAAAACCAAAGTTACACATGCAACATACATGTTGAAATGTATACAACCCCTCCAGGAACTCTGTTAAGGAACATCTACAGTCTAATGATTATTCATGCAATAGACATCTCTTTACTCCAGCAAAATAGAGGGTCCTACTGTATCAAGTGGATTCAAGACTGCAGACATACAACACATATTAGCAGGTTCACTAGAGGTGGCACAACAAACAGTAACATCAACACACACAATATGATGGCATGGCAGGTATAGCTACTTACTAGTACCTCTTTGTTCTGCGACTTTGGTCCTGCCGCCTCTGACCTTAGCTCCCTGCACCCCATTCACCGATTTGGCAGGTTTAGGTTTCGTGGCATGGTGGGATTTGCCTTCTTCAGCTTTTAAGGGAACAGAGCTACTTTTCGGACGGGAAGGACCGGTAGTAGATAAGGAGGCTAGAAAAAGGTGAGAAGCAAGTTGTTAAAACTCCCCCAACACTCATCGGTTGTCAGGAGCTAGGACCAGCAGACACAACTCCAACAAAGCAAGCTCACATAAATGCATATCAGTTCTGAATATGAAAAACATCACTAACATCTATTGCACTTCCGTAGATCGACGTGATATGAAATGATCCCTGGTGAAGGATATTTGCAGTAAGGGTGACATTGATGTTAAAATCTATTAAAATATTACACAATTTACTGACCACTCTATAATCTGCCATAAAAATGCAGAATTACAACTTGTATCGCTTTCGTGTCACTTTAGTCACAATAAAATATTTTATTACATTTAACATTAAACTCAATACATCAATTAAATTTTAGAATATAAAAGATGATTACTTTAAGAACACTGACTTTCACCACCAACATTCTAACTCCACAGAGCACAGCCCTTCGTGAGATGCTAATAGTCACTCTGCTAGTCAAGATATTATGGTCCAATAACTTGGACCTAACCCCACTTATTACTTCTCACTGGGTCTACTGAATGAAATGACCGATGGGACCGACATAAATATGAGAGACACTCTCCTACATTTGATTATGGATACTACAGCTAATTATATACATTGAAATGACTTAATGGACATTAAACTCTTAACTAATATTTGGAAAGGGCAACTATGTGAATTAAAAATGGTGGTAAACATTTAGAAGAGTTATAAGATGTAGCTCATAAAATGTAGCAATAAATTCATCTGGTTAATACTTATCTTGCATATCTTGAAATGACCACAGCCTTGTAATGGCTGGAAGCAGAGCAAATGTTGTATTAAAATTTCTACTCACAGTATATGGCTGACTGGTTGTGATACACCCTGTATCACACAATTAGTTAATACAAAAATTCTGAAAGTAAGACTTTTGGGACAAAGCAATGTACCAACAAGTATGTAGAAATCAAAGCATAAGAACAGTGAGTAAATCTATGGCTACGGCACAAAATGTAGTTTTTAACTCGATGAATAAAAGTGACCACAGATATCCTTCACCGACATTCATTATGTTACTGCAAATATTTTTCACCAGGGGAATCTATTCTATTACAAACAAAGCCAGGGGAAATGAAATCCACTACGTTCAAGCAATCCTCAATGCAATGTTAGCCCCAAACTTGGCAAATGAAAGTTGTGAGTAGGAAACTTATCACAATCCAGTGATACCTAGAATATCCTACTATATAGCATGAGGCAGGGATGCACAACACTGTGTGCAGGCCAGATACGGCTTAGCCAACTAATTATTTTTGTGAAATAATTCCTTGGTGTGGTAATTACTCTAAAATTCTGGTTTGATAAAACATTTTAAATTCTCTCATTCTGTAAAACTGCCAAATTCTAAGTTTAATACTACTCATGTACTTGTTTCACACAATTTAATCATTTACAGTTGACTGAAGGTACGTGAGAAAGACAAGTCATTTAATACAAATGAAGTGCAACGTTTGGCTAGCTACGATAACATAACATGTTGAGCACCCCTGACACAGGGAATTCTCGTAATCTTTTTGAAAACAGCATGCTAACACAGGAAACTTAACATTCACAACAATCAAGTTTCATTTTGTTCAAGTCTGATAATCTGTTCATTGCAACCACATCAAGCAAAGTTTAATTTCTCATTCCAAAGTTCAGAAATACTATGCAATTATCTCCAGACTTCTTTCATTGCACACTTGATGACTGGGCTGAAATGCCCTCATTACACTAAGACCTAGGTTCAGTTTCTGCCGAGGTCAACTGAACAGATCAGACTAAAAAGAAGACGGCTGTCTTCTGGGTTGTTGCGCCGTGTAGTTTGGTGGAAGTTTACCACCATTTCAGATGTCCTTGCTGGCTCCATCATTAAGGTAATGGAGGCAGCAAGGACCTCTAAAACGTCGGTAAACTTCTACCAGACTACACGGCGCAACAACCCAGAAGACAGCCGTCTTCAGACTCACCGCTGTGAAAACCTCAAATCAGACTAAAAAGAATCTACTGATCCTTTCAAACAAGTTTAGTTGAAGACTAAATCTCATTATTCAGAATTATTTAAACAATACAGCAATTACATGAAATTGCGTGGTGACACAGAGGCATGTTGTCAAAGCTAGAGACTTTGTATTCAAACAGTGAAGAGTTTAATGAAACAGGTAGCTCTAGCATAATGCAACAAAAGCCTTTTGTTACAAACATAAATAAAATTAACCGTACTTTTATCTTATATTATTTTCATACAGAAACGTGTATATTTTTAACATAAATTTTAAGCTAACATTAGTTTTAATATTAAGCACACCAAATAACATTACTTAATATTTACTAAAATGCATAAATAATACTGGTAATATCTGCTTGTAATCTCCCATTTTGTTTCACTAAATTATAAAATTTCCTTTTCTATAGACAAGAAAGTAATATTGCATTATTGTAGTTGTAATAAAATTATGGGAAGTTTCCTATGATAATGTCTTCAGTCTGCAAGTGTTTGTAAGATGTAATTTTTCAAACTATCTTTGCCCATGCTATATGTACATGGTTTTATTATAATGCCATCTAACTTATTGTAAGACTTAAAAAAAATTTCAATGAGATGATATAACAAACACAACCAAACCCTGAGGCTAGGGATGTACTGTATGTATGTAATAAGAGAGAGAATCTGGTAGTTGAGAACCATTCCAAGCAGGTCTCATGTTTCAAATTGTCTGGACACAGCACATACTTGTCTATACGCCTTCCCCTTCTCCGACCTCTGACAAAATCAAAACAATGTGAATCTCAGGATACCACAAAGATGGCTGTCTTCTGAGTTTTAGTGCCATGTAGTCTGGTAGAAGTTTACCAACGTTTCAGAGGTCCTTGCTGCCCCCATCATCAGGGCAATGAGGCAGCAAGGACCTCTCAAATGTTGGTAAACTTGTAGGATTTCATGGCAGTGAGTACGACTGCTGTCTTCTGGGTTGTAGCACCATATACTCTGGTAGAAGTTTTTCAGAGGTCCTTGATACCACTGAAATGTTGGTAAATGTCAACCAGACCACATAGTGCTACAACCTATACGAAAGCCATCATTGTTTGCAAACTTCTATCAGATTATACGGTGCTACAACCCAGAAGATAGCCATCTTTGTACTCACCACTGTGAGAACCTCAAATCCAACTTAGCCAGGACACCAGATACCCTGTGCTGGAAGTCACCTTCATCCTTCCACATGGGTGCATATACCTACCTTCATCCTTGCAAGGCAAATACCGGCCAGAATGGTCAAAGACCAAACCTGGAGGCATAATCTACCACCACCACCACCACCACAACAACAACAAAGAACAACACGTGGCAAAGGCCTTTGGACCAGAGCTTACAAGTATTCACTGAAAGATACATAGTTTGTGAATGGGTTTGTAGCCAA